ATGTTTCTCTTTCAAGTATACAGTCATAATATATACATATATATTATATATATACATTATATATATATATATACACACACACATACATATATTTCCCAATGATACATTTTTGTATTAAAATACCCTCTGTAATTTAAAAAATAATAATATCTTCAAATAATATATTTAGAGACATACAAAACTTGCAAATGGATACTAAAACTATAAATACAACATACCCAGTACTTCAATGGCCAATTTTAACTGATTTTGAAATATCTTAAAAATTTTTTTAATATAAATCATTTTTTATTTTTCAATTACAGTTTGCATACAATATTATCTTGATTCAGTGTACACCCCAGTGATTAGATATTATATAACTTACTAAATGATCATCCTGATAAATCTCATACCCATCTGACATCATACATAGTTATTAGAATATTATGACTATATTCCATATGCTTTCCTTTACATCTCATGACTATTTTGTAACAACCAATTTGTACTTCTTAATCCCTTCATTTTTTTCACCCATTATGTTTGTGTGTCTCTGAACAACATCAATGCTTATGTTAACTTTTATATTTTTTAAAGAAACAACTTTTTTCTCCTTGGAGAAAAAAAGAGCTAGTTTTATACCAGGTGGAGCAAAAGTAGGTTTACAGTCATGAGTGTGCGAACCAGAGTTTATTTTTGTATTATTACTTATTAATTATTGTATAATTTTCCATATGAACAACTGTAAACCTATTTTTGCCCACCCTCCATGTAAAGCATATATATAAAATTTGGAAATAATAGATATTGCAATGCTTTAAAATGTTTTTACTTACTATTGTTTATTCTAAACGCATGGTAAACAAGTATACAGTCATAATATATACATTTTTTTTACATAGTTATTAGAATATTATGACTATATTCCATATGCTTTCCTTTACATCTCATGACTATTTTGTAACAACCAATTTGTACTTCTTAATCCCTTCATTTTTTTCACCCATTTCCCTACCTACCTCCCATCTGTCAACTATCAAAATGTTCTCTGTATCTATGAGCCTGTTTCTGTTCTACTTCTTTTATTTTGTTTTCAGATTCAATTGTTGATAGATATGTATTTATTGCCATTTTAATATTCATATTTTTATCTTCTTCTTCTTCTTAAAAAATACCCTTTCACATTTCATGTTATACTGGTTTGGTGATGATGAACTCCTTTAGCTTTTTCTTGTCTGAGAAGCTTTATCTGTCCTTTGATTCTAAATGATAGCTTTGCTGGGTACAGTAATCTTGGCTGTAGGTTCTTGCTTTTCATCACTTTGACTATTTCTCGCCTGCAAAGTTTCTATTGAGAAATCAGCAGACAGTTTTATGGGAGCTCCCTTGTAAGTAACTAACTGCTTTTCTCTTGCTGCTTTTAAGATTCTTTCTTTCTCTTTAAACTTTTGCATTTTAATTATGCTGTGTCCTGGTGTGGGCCTCTTTGTCATCTTGTTTGGAGCTCTCTGTGCTTCCTGGGCTTATATGTCTATTTATTTCACCACGTTAGGGAAGTTTTCTGTCATTTTTTTCAAATAGGTTTTCAATTTCTTACTCTCTCTTCTCCTTCTAACACCGCCATGATGTGAATGTCAGTACAACTGAAGTTGTCCCAGAGGCTCCTTACACTATCCTCAATTTTTAAAATCCTTTTTTCTTTTTGCTGTTATGATTAGGTGTTATTTTGCTTCCTTATATTTCAAATTTCTGTTTGATTCTCAGCTTCATATACTCTACTGTTGATTCTCTATAAATTATTCTTCATATCAGTTAGTGTATCTTTCATTTCTGACTGGTCCTTTTTTATGCAGTTGAGGTTCTCACTAAGTTCATTATGCAACCAGTGTTTTGAACTCTCCATCTAGTAGATTACTTATTTCCATTTTGTTTAGTTATTTTTCTGGAGTTTTATTCTGTTCTTTCATTTGGGACATGTTTGTATTTTCATTTTTTCAATCTCCCTGTTTTTGTTTCTATGTATTAGGTAGAGCTGCTATGGCTCCCAGGCTTGATAGAGTGGCCTTATGTATTAGATGTCTGTTGGATAGAGTGGCACAGCTTCCTCAATCACCCAAGCTGGGAATTTGAGGTACACCCCCAATGTATGGGCTGTGTACACCCTTTTGTTGTATTTGAACCTTGATTGCTATTGGCATGTCATTGAGAGGGATTTATGTCTAGGGCAGCCAGGAGAATCAGCCACCATGGAGGATCAGCCGTGTAAGGGCCCACCCTACAGAGGAGGACTTACTTCAGCAGGTCTCTGGTACCTGCTGACTTCTTTAGTGTGTAGCTTGTGGAAGTGGTTAGAGGGTACTTCGATGTGGCCTGAAGCTGTCTACTGAGTTCGCTGGTTCTGGGGCCTCCTGGGAGTTGCAGACCAAGGTCAACTACCACCTGTGTTCTGCCCAGGACCATCTGACATGAGTCACAAAGTGATCTTCAGATGGCTGCTACTTGGACTAGGTTTGGAAGTGCCCCCGTAAGGCCAAGCTGTGAACCAAGGCCGGTTGCTGGTAATGCTAGGCCTAGGGCCAATTCGCTAGAGATACAAGGCACACTTTGGCCAGATGCTGCTTGTTTGAGAGATTTTTGGAAAATATAAAACATGAGCCAAGACAGGTCATTTGTATGGAAAAGCAATTGGAAACAGCTTGGATGAATCCACAAGTTGGGTGGGTTGGGGTCTTCAGTGGAATCACTGGAGTGCAGTGAACAGTGATAGCCAGGTTGATATGGAGCCGGCAGGGGGAGGGCTCAGAAAAGGAACAATGGCTTCTTCCAGCACTTCTGTCCCCTCCAGCTCTTACCCTGATGCCAGACAATTCAGTTCCTCTCTGGTGTTCCTGGTGCCTTTTGAGCTGCTTCCCAATTGCTGGAGCTCAGAGGGACTAAGTCCAAGTAAGACATGCATGGGCCGTTTAAGAGGAACGCCTAGGATTCTATGAGCCCTGGTCTTACTTGGCCACAATCCTGTTGGCTTTTACAACCAGAAGTCATGGCAACTTCTCTTGCTGGCACTGGAACCCTGGGCTTGGAGGGGCTTACTTTGGGGCTGGGACCCCTCACTCCTTAGGAGGGAACTTTCCCAGCCAAGATATTCCCCTGATTTTTACCTGCCACATGTGGGTGTGGGAATAGCCCATTTTGCATCTCCACCTCCCCTTTTAATATCAATGTGGCTTCTTCTTTAAATCCTTAGTTGTATTCATTTAGCTAGACTTTAGGCAATTCTGAATGATGACTGTTCTGCAGTTTAGTTGTAATTTTGATGTCACAATGCTTTTTATTTTATTTTATTTTATTTTTTTACATAAATGTGTGTTCTTTCAATATCTATCTCCCACTAGCTTTCCGTTCCTAAAATTTGTCATTTGCTAGGTCGAGTCATCTCTGGTCTTTACTATAATCTGTTTTGGTACATTCTGTTACTTGTGACAGGAAAAAAGCAATTGAATAGAATTTAGTTGTTTATCTCTGCAGGGACCTTGGATGCACCAAGGACTGCAGTGTGAATTGGCAAGTTGAAAACGACTCACTGAATATCCCAGGAGACTTTCTATGGAGGCTCCTTGCTTCTGCTGACAGCTGATATGATAGAAGGTGAACAGGAGGTGGTGATTTACTGTGAGCTTAGCAGGGAGCTTAATTTTCACTTCTTCATAGAAGTCTGGAGACCTGTTTCAAAAGCACATTATACACACATAACTTTTAGCAAGAATGACGACTTCTCTGACTATAAATTATAATACAACAGACCCTTTACTTCTCAGAATTTGTCTGCTTGGTGTTTTGCTTTTCATTTTACAGCATTCTGCTCCTTGGCTAGAAGTCCTTGAGACCAAGCTTATGTCACTAGATACACTTCACTTACATAAGGGCACTTAGAAACTGAAGACTTTGTGGGTGGGGGTGGAGGATTTCCACACACAATGGAAAAATCCAACAACTTATTTTGAAAAGGGGATGAGGTTCAATGCCCTGTTGTGACCTCATTTTCTGTCTCTACCCTAAGAACAGAGACAGGCACATCAAAGGATTTTGGAGAAACAAATGAATGAAGCAGGAGGAAAAGGAACCTGATTTTGTTTAATTACAATGTCCCAGATACTTTACCAAGAGCTTCATGTACCTTACTCACTTACTCCACATCCCAACCCAGCAATGAGGGTTTAGAAGAAGACTTAAATGGGCCAAGACCATTTGACCCTGTACAGATTTCCCTCTCCTACCTGTAAAATGGAATAATTTACACACTATTTTGGAACTCAATTTACCCAGATAATAATGAGTACTCCATTTCCCCTTTCGTCAACTTAATTTTTCTTAAACTAGGTAGTGGTGTAGGTGTGGAGTGGTGTAGACAAGGAAACAAGAGCTCTATTTTGTTTCTGGCCCCCTCCAGTATTTCAAAGCAAGTTAAGAAATGTATTTATTTAACACCATGAAACTTCTCTGTATCATACTAGATAGAAGGCTCCAGAAAATCAAAACGCTATGAAGTTCTTGAGCATATGTTCTTCTCTCAGTCTTAGTTAATGGCAAAAATTGTGTATCTGCAACACAGAATCATGTAACTAGCATGAATTTCCTCTGTCCCTGAATTATAAGAACCATTGGAAGGAATCACCTCGGGGATTCAGAAAAGCCACCAAATAATGAAACAATCTTGACCTATGTTTAGAACTCTGCAATACACTTACTTATTATGGTATGTGACAGCTGTGTACACTTCCTGCAGAAATTCAGGCCCATTGGATTTTCCAAAGATGACCTATTGACCAATATAAAAAGGACCAAATTAACCGTGATATTTGGGTATATGAAACCAACCATCATCAGCCCAATAGGACGTTCTGTTCTCATACAGCTATACTGTGTAAGTTAAGAGTGCTGAGTTCTACGACCAGCCCAACCACACGGATACAAAATTGGAGTTCTGCCCCCATTCATCCCTGGCTGGGCACTTGGTTCCATTCAGGATTTGCATAGCCATACCCGGCAGCTCTGGTGGACTTGCCATGAGCCAGAGCAGAGAGAATCAGGGGAGTCCTCCTCTAGGATTTCTTTCCTACCACCATTGCAAGAGAAGGCCTTATATTGGGAAGGTAGGTGAGGCATTAGGAGGATGGTTAAAAAATAAAGAAGAAAATATTTGGAGAATGGAAGCCCTGAAAAAATTATTTCAGTAGAAAGGTTTAGTAATTGAATTCTATGACTTATAGAAAACAGAAACAGCTAACACCATTCACAGCAGATGATTAAAAAAAAAACAAACAAATTCTGGCATTTTTGTTTTCTTAGAGAACACTGCATTATATATTTATGACTGGATTTATATTTTGCCTCAGGATGAAGATCCAGACCCAGAAGGTGTTGAGGTGGCACATGTTTATTATTCGTAGGCATGCTTCACATCTCTCTCAAGGTGGACTGGATGTGAGCAGCTGCATGCTGCAGTGCACATCTGGAAGTGCAGCAAATACGCAGACACACTGGGCCCGTCTGTCTACTTCTCATGCTGTGAGGGTAGCATGGACTTTATGATATTTTTCAGTCCTCTAATATAATCTGCATGTCCAACTTTCATAGCTCCTTATGGAACAAGTTAGGAAAGAGACTTGCAATGCAGACTGACCTTGTTTCCCCATCAGCGTGCTGGGACCAATAATGGACTAGCCACTAAGGCCTCTGCACATGCTGAGTAGTGCTGTCCTGAACAGACAGAGATACTCGGCATGTTCATGAGCCCTGGGTTCTGTCCGTGTGAATGGACAAGGGAAGTTCAGCACACCCTGGTTTGAGGCAAATGTTTACTTCTGTCTTTACCGGCATAGCGTTGCTCGGATCCTCTCCACACATGAACTGGATCTTGATTGTAATGTTCCGGGCAGATGTTAGCTTGTTAGTGAAGTTCAGCCTCTGTGGGTAGACATAGAGAAGGTTTCTGGAAAAGAGAAGACCGAGAACCAGTGAATAAGATCTAGAGCTTGTTTTAACCAATCAAGAGGCGACGTTTCTGAAGGAGGTTTTCCTCCTGAAGTGAATTATTTTTGGAGGAGTGAGTGAGATACTGCTGCCTCTTCCTCCTCAGCTACAGTCATCTGATAATAACCAACAGTGTCCTTCTTCTGTCCCCTATAAAGATGTGTCTGCTGCAGCTGAGAGAGTCTTAAGGTCCTGGGTGTGTTTCAGGTTTCTTCGGATATATTCCCAGAAGTGGAAACTCTGGGTCATCAATCAGCTCTTTTTTGGGAAAGACCATCTCCATGTGGCAGGGAGAGCTGGTGTGTGGGTTAATCCGCCCTTGAGCTCTGAGTTCCGTGCCACATTCTGGGAGCTCTGTTCACCTGGATGTGCTCAATGACCAGAGAATTGACATCTAAACCCTGAAGTTTAGCCCTACTTTCTGCATTTTTAAGCACGTGAGGCAAAAATTCAGCACTCTTTCTGGGTCACTTGATCCTGTATCCAGCCCCACAGTTTCGCCTGGGCACCTCCCACAGGCCCCCCAACCCCAGCTCCACCATTCTAACAATGGAAGGGTACACATTGCTTCTGTAAAGTGACAGCCTTCACATACTTGGTGGCTTTTCAGAGATGCGTACCCTTGATGGCCTGGGAAGTTCCATGTGTTCTTAAAGTGAGCACGAAGATCTGAACCTCCTGATTTGCATGATTTTGTGGGGGTTTCCGGGTCAAGTGAATAGAGAACCATTTTTCAGAGATCACCTCAGGCCGCTTATGGGAAGAGCAAATATTCTTAATAAACCTGATTTTAGTGGATACATGATATACCTTATTATGAATGTGCCATAACTTATATTAATCTCCAAGAATAATCATTTAGATGATTTCCTTTTTTTAATATTATAAAGCGGTGCTAAACCCTTTATATATGTATGTATGTATGTACGTATGTATGCATACATATATGTATTGCCCTTCTGCAATGTAGTGTACTTCGGGAAGGATCCCTTTTAGTTCTATATAGTTCTTCATCTTTGAATTAATTAGAGAGACACCGATCAACCTTTCTTTATGCTGTGCTTGAAGAATAATGAGCCCGAGTTTGTAAAATGCTTTGAAGTAGCGAGATGAAAGGGTCTGTGTCAATCACAACAGTAACAGCCTGCCAGACCGGTTAAGCCAGTTAGCTGTCACTACACTCCTCTCCTACATTCCAATACAGGGCCACCACCCACCTGTCTCACCACCCCCCCTCCCCCCAACACTGGTCAACAATTCTGCACGTTGCTTTCACAGGGGTTGCTGACCCCTACGCGGAAACAACATCACCATGGGCATTCAGTGTCCTGCCTGATACTGAATACACTTTCCACAGAGTACAGAGCTAAGGGAAACGGACAGAATTTAGTCCAACATTCCTTTCTGCCAGGCTAGACTCTCAGGGAGGTTAAATAACTTTGCCTAAACATTTTCTTAAGAAGATGCATTTTCCAACATTCGTCCTATTTCTTAATGGCAAATCACCAAGTGACATGTTCTGTTAAATCTGCATGCTTTTAAAGAAATGAATATTAAAAAATAATGTTTTCTATTGGGAAGGGAGATCTGCCTGCCTGGTCAGTAACCCACAGAGCTTAAATGAGATAAGAGTAATTATTAACAAACTGATAAACAGGTGCATATAATATATATGTGGTAAATTGTCTCATATTACCTAGAGAAAATCCTGAGAATTATATAATGATTTTTGAGAGGCTAGCCCATAACCAAAATAGGAATCACTTCGTATAGCAAAATTATCTTGAAAACTCCTTTAGTACCTACAGGCCCAGTGTATGTGCAAGGCATTTAGTTTAATCCCATCGTTCCCCAAGAAAAATGGTTTTCTTCAGTCACATGCATCACAACAAAGAACAGGACATTTGGTATTCATCAACAACGTTCTTCCAGAGCTCCTTCAGATGGCTTCTCTCGATTACAAACTGTTTTGGCAACTCCAGATTCTTTCCACTGATTCAGCCATGGCCTCTTAACTAATTTATAAACGCTGTGATTTAGCAGCTCCAGGAAGTCAGAGGATAATGTGGAGGAATTTGCTCATTCTTAGAGCAAACTCTTTCTGCCCTTTACTGCCTTGGGACCGTCTTCTACTTTCTTTGCTGAAAACAGGTTCCCCCAAGGGACCTTGAAATCTTTCAACGCCACAATGCAAAAAACATCAGTGTGGCTTCTCCTCAGTTTAGCCTATTCTTTATCCAGTGCAAGGAGACAAGGAGAAAGACATGCCCCTGTCCCCTATTTCCATGATGACATCTATGTCCTCTCTCAGGGGCTTCTACAGCTTGGAGTGGAGCTCAAGATGCAAGTGAGCTACAGCAAAAATCACATTGGCCACCTGTTTAAACAACTGGACTCTCTGAATACCTCTTTAGTTGAGCTTCTAACTCAAGTCAGCCAGCAGGAGAGAAAGAAAGAGGACCTGGAGAGGAGAGCTGAGCAGCTCGACAAGAGGAATGAAGACCTCCATCAGCTGGTTGCTGAGCTCCAGCATCAGATGACTGCCGGGATAAAGGACAGAGAGAAGTTCAATGAGAGGCTAAACTTGCTGGAGCAGAAGATGGAGGATGCTGTGTTCTTCAAGGCAGGGGGGCTTTCTCTGACAGAAGTGATGGACGACATTGTGGTGAGTAGATCACTGTTGGTCATTTTAGTTGACCATTATTTTATTGGAAATAAAATATGATTTTAACACTATTATTATTTTAAGTAGAAATACTATTCTATTGGAAAATAGACCCCCAAAGTAAGACTCATAAAGTTGGAATAATTTTGCCGTGAGAAACCTGGGTAAGAAGAGTGATGGTGCAGATTAACCCTATTGATGCAAATGCTAATGTATCTGCCATTGCTGGTAATGGCAGCCTAAACCATGTTTAGAATTTTTAAAAAAATATTTGTGTCACTTGCTCCCAAGGAGTGGGTGGAGGAAAACTCAATCATGTAATAAAGCAAAAAGCTAGCTTCCTATTCTCTGAGTACATTTTATGTACACGGCCTTGGGATTCCCAGAGAGCCAAAGGAGTAACAGTAGTTGTTCAAAATCACACAATCCTTGGTGCTTCTTATATATCTTTTTGAAAGTGAGTCTGAAGTGAATCAAATGGCTTGTACTCAGAATGTTGAGTGAAAATTCAGGATATAAAATGTTATCTATGACAGGGCTGCAAATATTCGAAAATTAAATATGCATGAAAGGGTTACAGCTAGAAGATGATATGGAGAAATGAAAAAAGTAAATATAATTTTTGAATGAACCTGGTGTCGATTTTGGTTTTCTTTCTTTTATTTTAATACAAAAGCTGTAATAGGGTACTAATACCAAATATGTACTTTTTAAAAGACAACAAAAAATTGCTGATTCTGCGGCTTAGGGTATCTCTACAGTCCTTTGAACGACAGCAATGCCCGTAATTTAAGCTACTGTTATCCCAGGGAAGATGGGCTTATATGGAGACCTGTGATTAGTGGCCCTTACCAAATATGTTAATAAGTGGAACAGTCCTTTAAAAAAATCACAAAATTCTCTACAAATGTGGTGGACAAATCAATTTCCTCACCTGTAATAAAAAGATTGGAGTTAAGTTTCAATTCAATGATACCTGATAAGTATTTTGCTGTAAACTGCAAAAATATGACACCCATGAAGATTATCTACTTATCAGGATTGTGCGAAACAGCTGAGTGAACTTCAAAATACAACTCTAACCAGTCTACAGGACTATGAGATCTTAATACATATCACTTAGGGAACCCATCAGTCTCTCTGGGTTTCTCTCTCCATCTTTCAGGCTCTTTCTGTCTCTGTCTCTCTATGTCTGCCTGCCTTTAATCTGTGCGTGTGTGTGTCTCTCTCTTTCTGGCTCCCTCCAGTCTCTCTTTTTCTCTGATACACCCTCTCCCCCTCCTCACAGCCCCTCAGAAAAATGACAAAATGCTCTTTTTCGCCAGTCTTTTTTGACTAGTTCCATCTAATCACTAAAATCCGTTTCCTTACAAGCGTGTGAGTGTTTGATGGTTTCCTGCCGTGATCTGGGACTGGGTTGTGAACAGGGTCTTAGTTCTCTCAGGATAATAAGCACAGAACCTAATATCTATGAACATTTTAGGGTTCCACAAAAATGTCTGTGCATTGAAAAGTAATCAGCTCCAAAATACAAAAAGTAAAAGCTCAAAACCAAAACTAATGCATTTTACATTAAATGCTTACCAACTGCAACATTTTCTCAATTAGTCAACAACTCTACTGAATTTAACCTACAGGTGAAAATTACTTCCTCCTACTTTGCAGACTGCTATAAAGTTATATTAAAGTATACTGTATATAACAAATGAGAAGGTGGGTGCATCCTAATGTTTTAAATGATGTGGTCAGGTGCTTTTGGGGGGGGGGTCTTAAAAAGGTTCTTGGATATAGATATCAGGAAGGGAAAGGATAAAATATCAAGAAATAGGTTTTTCTCTTTTATTAGTTTTCTTCTAGCTTGATGGTTTTATAGCGACCACTAGCAATATGCACTGGAGTGAAGTAGACTAGCTAGGCAATTAGCACCTGGCTCTCTGCTGGAACTGCTGAAACAGCTTTATATAGAAAAAGCTCGCCAACCTCTTCTGGCAATTTCGAAGTAATTTCCTTTCCTTTCCTTGTGCTTCAAAACTCTCCCTCTCTAGCCCTTTTTGCAAAGACAGAGCCAAAGAATTGATGAGCTATTTGCGGAAGTGGAAATGCAGCAAAACCAATTGCACAAACGAGATACCCTCATTAAAAGGCTGCGGGAAAAGGTTGGTACCTCTTTTTTCTTTTAAAATATATTTTATTGATTTTTTACAGAGAGGAAGGGAGAGGGATAGAGAGTTAGAAACATCGATGAGAGAGAAACATCGATCAGCTGCCTCTTGCAAGCTCCCTACTGGGTATGTGCCCGCAACCAAGGTACATGCCCTTGACCGGAATCGAACCTTCAGTCTCCAGGCCAACGCTCTATCCATTGAGCAAAACCAGTTAGGGCAGGTTGGTGCCTCTTACTCCCTTTAGTAATTTGTTAACAGCAGGCTTTGAGTCCAACAGGACACAATTCAAATGCCTATTAATATCAACAATATCTTACAGTTATCTGGTGTCTTTTTTTCAAGCATTCCAAAGAAAATTGTAGATCTCGATATATTATTTTATGGTACTTACACAAGGTGAGCAACTGAGGAGGTATTTTTTACTTATCATTCACACTCACTGCCAGGAAAATTTATTTTATTTCTTAAGGAAAATTTATTTTAAATGTAATAAAAATGGCTAAGGTTTTTTAATTCTTACTATGTGAAGACACTATTCTAATAGTAGCTAACAGTACCTTTGACAGGTACTACAATGAGCCTCATTAGGTAGATGATAAAACTGAAGCACAGAGAGGATGCATAACTTGCAGGAGGTAACACAGCTAGCACGGTGCAATTCAGATCTGGGTGCTCTGAAGCTAATACTAGATCTGTTGCCCATAATCATTGCTATTTCTAAGAACAACCGTAAACAGTATCTTTGGTCAACAATCAGACTCACCAGAACATTATAATGTGGTCTTCTATTGTATTATTTACAAGGGCTAAAGAATGTTTCCTCAAACAAACTTTTTTTTTTTTTTTAAAAAAGATTTAAATAACATAGTTAACTTAGAAGATGAGAATAACTACTGTCCCTCGGTGGTAGAGGTTTTGATATTTTCAATACATCAAGAGCAAGTGAAGTTAGAAATATTAGAGCTCAATATTTGGTATATTCTGGAATTACCGGGGAAACCTGCAAGCCAAACATGGTTGTATGTATGAGGTGGGCGCAGGCGTTGGAAATGCACACTTACGCAGAGCTGAGACTTTGGTACTCTAAGAATGGCCCGGGGAGGAGCAGAGGCAGCATCAGAACCACCTGGGCCAGTTAGGACTCACCAGTGACTTGCTGAATCAGAACCTGCATTTTAACAACACCCCAGGTGATTTCAAATGCACAGTCAAGTTTGAGGCCTTGTCTCTTCGATGAACACATGAATCTTGTCATTTATTGTGTTTCCTTTTGTTTGCTTGGCTGCTAAAAAGCTCAAAGGCAAATTTGCAACCAACTTCTTAAAAAATATATTTTTTTATTGATTTCAGAGAGGAAGGGAAAGGGAGAGAGAAAGAGAAACATCAATGATGAGAGAGAATCATTGATTGGCTGCCTCTTGCATGCTCCCTACTGATGATCGAGCCTGCAACCTGGACATGTGCCCTTGACCGGAATTGAACCTAGGACCCTTCAGTCTGCAGGCCGATGTGTATCCACTGAGCCAAACCAGCGAGGGCACAACCACTTTTTAAGGATCTCTCAAGAACCTTAGGATATATTCTGCATATTAACCTTATCCAGGTTTAGATTGATTTCCCTCTCCTTATTTTCTTTTCACCCAGAAATCTTATGCCTTGTTTTACAATCTCCATAAGCTGCCTCAGATACTTTTTAGAATGGGAAAGTTTATAAATAAATGCACAAACATAAAACGTTTGCCATATCCTGTCTTGTTATTCCATGGCCTAATGCCATGTCTTGTGTTTATTCCTATTTCTAATACTTTAGGTTAAATCAAAGCACAAACTCACAAAGGAAACAGTGAAAAATGGAAAGAAAACCCCTGATGTGTAGGGTGAAGAGAATGTTCCATCTTCAGGAATCAGCAAGGAAAACGGAGCATGAATCCTGTTCTAGGGCACGAGTCAGAGTCCACACAAGGCTGCCTGCCCTGGGAAATGGCACAAGATTAGAAGGAGGCGTTGGGGTGTTGTCCTGAGCAGCAGCTTGCCCCTTAGGAACCTCTGCTCTGTGGGCCAGGCTGCAATGTTTTGTGTAAATGCTGGCACTGTATTCTGAACATCGGGGACCTCTAACCTCGCCCCCGCAACAAGCAAATGCGGTTAAGTAGCTAGAGACAAAATGTTACCCAAATTGTTTAGAAACACTACAATAAATATTCTCTCTCTCTCTGGTCATGTTATGTTTTTAAAAATGCGCTCTAAAACAGAAATCAGATGAGAGCAAGAGAAACAAATAGAAAGCCATCAAATTCTTATACTTGTTATTACACCACTTTTTAAAGATTTTGAAGGGAAAAATAATCCATTCTTTCCCAATTGATGAACTACAATTTGAACATCTGATATGGTGTCTTGAACAACTATGGATATTGAACAACTATTATTACTAATAATAATTTGTCTTTGAACATGGACTACATGCTCACATACCCTATATTTTCAGAGTACCTCTTCTATTACCTCAATTCCCACCCCTTCTTCTTATGAGAAAGGTAACAATTCCTCTTAAGAAAGGGCTTGGAAAATCAGCATTCCTCCTGTTAAATAAAGCAGGACCTCAAGCTGGGGCAAACAGAATGTTCCCTTTTAGAAACAGGTAAAAGTACCTGAACTCTCCTTAAAATCCACTCAGTTGTTTAAGAAAAGTCCAACTACTTTTCAATAGCAAAAGACCCAACAGGAAAGTTGGGATGTTTTTAGGTCTTATCTGGATCAGAGTCACAGTGAAAAGAATCACAAATACATAAACATTTGAAACCTGCTGTGGAAAACTGACTACTTTAAGAAAAAGTAAATCTCTAGGCCCTGCCGGGGTAGCTCAGTTGGTTAGTGCATCGTCCAGATACACCAAGGTTGCAGGTTCAACCCCTAGTCAGGACACAGGCAAGAAACCAGTAAAAGTATAAAAAAGTAGAACAACAAGTTGATGTCGCTCTGTCTGCCTCGCTCTCTAAAATCAATGAAATGACATTCTTTAAAAATCTAACTTTGCTTGAAATTTTTAAAAAACAATACTTTGTTGACCACTATGCTGTACACCTGAAACTAATACAAAATAATATTGAATGTAAACTGTAATTAAAAAAAGAAATTAAACCATACTTTGTGGAACTGACATTTTATGAATTAAGATATCCATATTACTAAATATTCTTTTGAAACACTGCTTACCAGATTTAATGTATTAAGTGGTTTACATATCATTCACTCCCATCTTTGTATGAATTAGTTTACTCAGTACCTGTTCTTTTTACAAAGAGGATGGATTATGGACTGACTGCAGGTATGAGTGAAGAAAGGCAAAATTTCAGGAAATCCCTTTAACATTTTAAAAAAATATGTTTTTCTTGATTTTTAAAGAGAGAAGAAAGGAGAGAGATAGAGAGAAACATTGATGATAGAGAAACATCATCAATTGGCTGCTCCTACAGGCCCTCTTATTGGGATCGAGCCTGCAACCGAGGCATGTGCCCTGACTGGGAGTCGAACCAGTGATCTCTTGGTTCCTGGGCTGAAGTTCAACCACTGAACCAAGCTAGCTGGGCTAAAACAACAAATTTTTAATGAAAACCTACTCCAAGTAAAAAACAACACATATGTTTCAATATTTGGTTTTATAAAAAAGCAAAAATTCAAGTTTGAAGGTATCGTTTCAATGACAAATCTAGATGGGGTTGCATATTTTAAAAGACCACCAGTCAGAATTGTCACGTGAATGACTAACATGAACCAACCTGCATGTTCTTTTAAGGGATGGAGAGAGCACATTTTTTCCAGGCTTTGCAAATAGTTTCCTAAAACAAATCTGCCAGCTAATGAAAGCACATACACATACCAGAAAATTTCCCATTTCTGCTGTTGCTGAAGCTGACCTTTGTTTTTCTTTTGGTTTGGGGCAGAGCCTTTATTGGTCCTCTATCCATTAAAAACAAACAAACCACGAATAAATCAATATTATTCATTACAATGCTTGCCTGATCATTCCTGATGTTTTTAATATTGTTAGTTGCCTCAGTTTGGGTTGGAGGAGAAAGTATTGGAATTGGAGGAAACAGCTGCATTATTTGAATAAATAAGAATAAATTCTCCAGATGCCTCCACTACCTCCATCTAGAAACATATACTTGCTTTGGGTACTTGGTGGGAGAGAAGGCTTGCTTGGGTTTTGGAGGTGGTTTCAAACTATTGTAGGGAAGGGGTTGGGGGATAATTGTTATCATTTTGCTTTTTCACAAAGTAAGGACAGGCCATTGATTAAACTCTTCATTCGGGTTGGGTGACCATTAGAGTGAAAGAAAACCTGCCCAAGGAAAATGAATCATCCCCCCTCTCTTCTCCTCTCCCCAGTAAGAATATCTCATTCATGGTATGAAAGAATTACAGTAGCCTCTAAATGTCCTGGATGGTGTGTTCATTGGTAGCATTTGGCTCGACATCTGTGACATAAAAAGTTCTTCAACCAGGAAACATAAAGGCCAATGATGCAAGAACTGGACAGAACCCTGAGCTTGAGATGAGGGTAGCCTGAGGAGCACAGGGCGCTTTCTGCAAAGATGCACTGAGGGATGCCAAGTTCTTACCTTGACAGTCATGAGAGCGAAGGGAAGGACAAGCAAGCTCAGAAGATCTGTATCAGGGGGGAAAGGAACAGAATACAATGAACTGGAGAAGAATTCCCCGGTTCCTGCTCTGGGCGGCAAATTCACCCAATCCTCAGGTGGAAAATGAGTCAGAATTCTAAGGTGTCTAAGTGTGACTCCTTTCTTATTTCTTAAAAGTGAGACATTTGTGTATATCATCTTTGAGGACATCAACTGGTGCCTTGGCATAACAGAAATGGAAATCTATTAATAAGTTAAAGAAACTGGTCTGCTTCCTATCTGTGAACCCATGGAGGAAATTCTGACAGGAGAGAAAACACCGCTCATGTCACTCACCCCATGAAGCAAGTGGATCTATACAAAAGCAACCACAGGCTTGGTTTTACTAGTAAAAACTCTAAGTCTAGGAAATGCTGAGAAATGATATTCTTGTTGCTAAATGCATAATTTTTAGCTTAGGCATGGAGATTGGGTAAAAAAAAATAATTAAAATTAGCCACTAAGTTGAGTTTCTCTACTTTTATCTTTATTAAACCATAATATTTATATTCCCACCCTGTTGCATGGATCTCAGCTTACATTTTGAAGGCTGTCAAACAAAGAAGATAAAACAAATGAGTTGGAACCGCACAGCTTTGGAAGTTTTATTACCTTTCTGGGGTTTAGGCCAGTGGATAAATGAAATTCATTTTTAATGATAAAAAATTCATGACATACAACTGGTTAGCCATGGTTTCTAAAAAATGATCTTGTTACATTGTCAAAACTCAGTCCTTCCCTACTCATAGTTCTATTTTGCTTTGTGCTGTGGGGCTTGCCAGCATTGCCTCCACCCAAACCCACTCTTCCCCTGGGAAGCTGGTGGCGGTGACACAGCATGTAATATTTCACCCAGAGCATTTTGACTTCTGCTGAAAGGGGTCAAGGGCAGCTTGTCTGAGGCCTTGAAACCATAGGACATCCATTAACAGAGAGCTGTTAAAATACCTCTGCTTTAGAGATGGCCAAACACTTCTTGGGAGGAGTGGGTGGATGCTGATCTCTGGGCCACCAATAGAGTACACAGGAAAGACAAAACTAAGGATGAAAAAGCTAAAAAGTAGAAAAGATTTTTAGCCTCCCCACCCCAATAACAGAAGAAATAAGAGAGAACAATTCCCCGAAGGCTATCTCCCCAGAAGACAAGCCACTTCAAAGAACTAATTTTAAAATAATTAAAAAACTAACAAAACCATAGAAATCAAAGAAAGAAGGCTTTTTTGGACTTTAGGAGGCTCCTTCTAATCTAGGCAAACTATGCCTCATCGCAATCAAATGCAAGCCCAGATTTGCCTTACGTTCATCACCATTTCTATTGCTTCTGCCCCCAACCTCATACTCCAAACACATGAAAAAAAATAAGATATTTCGTGAACCTTCGTGGTGAATTCTCTGTAAAGGCTCTGTGAAGAACGTTTCTGCCATCATGAAATAGACAGAGCAGGATTTTTTGTTAGGAGAGTTGTTAATAGGCAATAACACAAAAGCATGGCCGACTCAAAATGAATGAGTATCGTGTGGAGCTGTGACTTGTGGAGTCAGTGACATTAATGTACATGGAACCTCCTTAACATGATTTCATTACTGCCTCACCCATATTCTCTTAGTTCTGTATGTGAGTCAGGATCGGCCCATGTGTAAATATGTATAGTGAACAACACCTCTCACAGATGAGATTTCACTCTCTCTCTAACCACAGGATACAGATCTCAATGTGTCTCCCTACTATATCTTCCAAAAAGTTCCAGATTTCTAAGGTCATGACTTACTAATGAAGGCAGAAGCTGCTGACAGGTCAAAATAAAACGCTTTGCAAAATATGACAACAGCAATCTCTTGGAACACTGGAACACTTTCCCGTGATTTTGTTTGTTTTGTTTTGTTTTTGCTCCTACACTTCAAAGGCAAAAAGTAAAATGTGTGTTTTCCTTTAATAAAATCATAATAATTCCCTTTGTAATAGGAAATATAGCAAATTGCAGCTGAATCTAGAAAGTGAGCGAATTGTGCCCTCAAGTGGCTGAAAAGATAGCTTTGCAAAACCTGCAATAGTTGCTAAGTAATTTTAGGTAACTGGCTTCTCCTGAATTTTTTCATTTTTTCAGGAAAAAAAGGAGGTTGGCCAAGTTTTGGAGCAGGACATTAGGTACATGGGGATTACGCTCCTGATTTATTGAGACAAACTTGCCACAGCAAAGTTAAGTACAGGGACTCAATTATCCGGATAATTCAGGCAACAGGAATCACTTTGCCTTTGTCTCCATTACTTGGCTAATTCAAATGATTGTATTTTGCCTGGGCTGCACTGCTGTTCTTAAATTGTTTGTTCACAATAAGCTTTGTGTTCCACAAGCATTTGCTTGCTAAGTTTAGTAAAACCAACGAGTGGGCTTCAGAGCAGTGTTTCCAGCAGCTGATGTCACTGTGGACCTTTGCGTGACTCCATAGATCAGTGATGGTGAACCTATGACACGTGTGTCGGAGGTGACAGGCAAACTCATTTTTTTGGTTGATTTTCTTTGTTAAATGGCATTTAAATATATAAAATAAATATCAAGTCTTTGTTTTACTATGGTTGCAAATATCAAAAAATTTCTATATGTTGACACGGCACCAGAGTTAAATTAGGGTTTTTCAAAATGCTGACATGCCGAGCTCAAAAGGTTCGCCATCACTGCCATAGATTGAAGAACTCATTGAAAGGAACTCCATAAAAGGAAGGGGGAACTTTGATTCTTAAAGGAGGTCCAAGGCCCTGCCCCAGACCTCCTGAATGGGAGTGTCCAGGCAGCTAAGTGTCCAAGATGGACACTTGAGTTATTATAAAGCTCCACAATAGACTGAGGCACAACCACCTTCTCCCCACCCCGTCACCCACAATAGGGAGAAGCTCCACTGGGCTCAGATTGGGAATCCATCTCCTTGGACAAAATAAAATCCCTCTCAAGGACAGCTTCCATTCTCTATGCCCCAAGTCCTTCCTAGCCACCTCATCCAGAATGATTTCTGGTTCATTCCTTTCCTTAGAAGTCCTATTCTCTCAATTACAACTTCCAGGCATTCATGCAAGATGGGCTGGCACAATTACCCCACGCCATTCCTTTTGGCCCTGTGGGG